CCTCGTTAGTATAGTGGTGAGTATCCCCGCCTGTCACGCGGGAGACCGGGGTTCGATTCCCCGACGGGGAGAGCGTTGTATTTAGCTTTTTGACTTTATAAATCCGTCAAATTCCTCTTCTAAGACAGCGGGACTGAGACCTTGAGGAAACAACCGAAACAAAAACAATTTTGTCTCGACGTCGAGATCGTACTGGAAATTTCTAGTTTATAGTTTACAAATAACTCGCGACTTGAGCGTGCGGCTACATTGCCCATCATTCGCTACTAGAAGTGTTCGTGGACGATAATTTAGAAAATATAGATTTAGAAAAAAAAATACACAGATGAATGAACGCCATAAAACCGCCCACGTGACCGGCGCTCGCTTCCGCCCCCAAAGCGCGGGAGTTTCCGGCCACGCCCCGTGACACCCCCTCCCCATTCCCAGGCGGCGGCGCGGAGGCGGGCTTCGGGGCTCCATTTCGCCTTCTTGTGTCCGTGTTGCTCGGTTCGCAAGGCTCTCCGCAAAGCCTCCGCGTCCTGGGAGCAGATTACCGCGGGGGCCTTCGATCCGGAGCAGAGCGGTAGGACCGGGGACCGAGCCGGTCCTCTCAGAGCAAGGGTTCCCCGTGACAACCTGTCACCCACCACGCTGGGGTCCGGGAAAAGTACAATGTAGTATTTCAAATACTGGGAAAATAAAGGTTGCGTTGGCCGGGAATCGAACCCGGGTCAACTGCTTGGAAGGCAGCTATGCTCACCACTATACCACCAACGCAGCTGCGAGTGTAGGCTCCCTGCGCCTACTCAAGACTGGCTTTCGCTGATCCGCCATCTGACTCAAACCAGGTGCGGGTTGAGCGAGGCGGCAGCAGGCTGAATGAAGGCCGAGCAGGGCCGCACCCCTGCCATCGCTAGAAACCCGCCCCGCAGCACTGGGCTCTCCCCGGTCTCCCGATGCGGGAACTAAGACCCAGAGAAGCTAAGTAAGGCGATTTTCTGAGCCACCAGCCGAGTCGGGATTAAGTGTAAGATTTATGCAACATGCGAGGACAGCAGTGACACCGAGATGACAACCTCCCCTAGAAGTCAAAACCCAGAGATCGCTTCTCTGTTCAGTGAGCTGAAAAGGTTAAAGAACTGGGCCTAACAGCAAATATGCCTGCTCACAATTTGCATCTTTTCGTAGTTTGCCAAGAACCTGAGCTCAAGTCCTTGTGTGCGCGATCGCGCGCACCTACCTCCCCGAGTGCAGCGCTCGCGGCTCCAGAGGCGGGGCCTAAGGAGGCCCCGCCCCTCGCTGCTGACGGGACATCAGTTCACGAAATCTGTCAGGCTAAGGGGTCGGGCAGGCCTCGTGGCGCAACGGTAGCGCGTCTGACTCCAGATCAGAAGGTTGCGTGTTCAAATCACGTCGGGGTCAAAAGCCATCAGTGTTTTTGAAATACAGCAGCTGGATTTTGGAAAAAGAAGACTTTCTTTTAAGGGACTTTTTTGGGTGGGTCTTCTTGTATTACATGGGAAAAATAAGAATTTCATTATTTCTGTGATTTTTTTTTACCCCCCCCAAAGGCGCCGGAATGTCTCCTTAAATGCGAGAGTACTTTATTTCATTTTGCTGTTTCCATCAAATCGACTGATTAAAACAATAATCCCTTTAATCTCAGATAGTTTGGCTAGGTTGCCATAACAAAAATTGTTAATGAACAGTCTGCAATTCTTGTTCAGAGAACGCATTTGTAACACTGTATATTCCAGATTGGAAGGAGTGTAGACTGTAGCAATCATTATTTTTAAAACAATAACTCATTTATAACCATCTTAAAATACTTTTCTGTTTAGTTTTGTTTGTGTGTTTGTTTTTTGGTACCGAGAATCAAACTCAGGACCTTGCACTTAGGACATTTTTCTCTTTGGCAATTTAACTTACATTTATCAGTGGTATAACGGAAATATAATTCTATAACCCTAAATTATAATTTTAGTGACCACTTAAAATTTTTGATAGTTCTGTAAATTATTAAGCAATTCTCCTAAAGTTATACATCCTGGTTTTCTGGTAATCTGTTCTTTTTTTTTTTTTTACTATTTAAACTGTTTAAAATGTTGTGAAGGGTATTGTTGTGCATCTGTTTTTATCCTTATTGAATTAGCTCTGTGACAAAAATTCCTGAAACTTCAGTTCCTAGCTTAAGTTCTGATAGCTGTACTTCTAACTGTAGTGTGGTCCAAAGAGCTATGGGACTCCTTCAAGCAAAAGTCATCCTGGTTTCTTTTTTATTTTTTCGTTGTGTTTCCAGTGGTCGCTTCTTGTATTCAGAATTTGGTCCAAATTATTTTACGTGTTTTTAGTTGTCTCTGATTAAGTTGCGGCAGGACACAAAGATATTAAATACAGTCATTTGCCTGGACTTTTCAGCAGCCACTAAAAGGCTGGAACCATGGGCATTTTTGCTGCTTTGGCTAAATGGAAAAAAATACAAAGAAACCCAGGCTGCCACCCCCTCCTCGCTCCCCACAAAGCACTCAGAGTTGTCATCTTTCCCCATGGGGAGCTCCCTCCCTCCACATCCTCCCCCTACTGCGCGCTGGTGGCTGTTAGTGTGACAGGTGACAGGAGAGGGGCCGGGTTGTCCTGCCTCTGTCCACACAGTAGCTGCCCACCAGGTTTGAGTCCGTCTCTTCCTCCCCAACCTCGAGGCTCCCGCCTGTTGTCTTCCAGAGCTGTCCCCGTGTGACAGAGGCAGACAGTGGACAGCCCTTGTGGCTGAGCCGCACCTGCAGGAACTGCAGGCCTGCTGATGACTCCGGAGGGTCACACAGGGTGGCAAGGAGCTCTGATCGCCAAAGGAACACACTCCTCGGCCTCCAAGCAGCTGGGGCTACAGGTGTGCACACTATGGCCTGGTTGTGTTCTTACCTGCTGTACTCCTAAGCTTCATTCCTGAGAGCCTCAAACTTGCGGCAGTCCTCCTGACTCAGCCTCCCCAGTGTGAGTGCTGGGATTACAGGCATGCGCCCCCTGCCTGGCTTCGATGACTTTAAAAGGTGTACTAGTCTGCTCAGGCTGCCATAACAAAATGTCACCGACCCAATGGCATAAGAGCAGCCATTTATTCTCTCATAAATGGGAAGGTGTAAGTGCCAGACCAGTGTCCCCTGGGTTGCAATCAATGGGTCACCTTCTCCTTGTGTCCTTACATGACAGAGCTCTCCGGCTCTTCTGAGGACATTTGCTTCACTGGCTTAGGCCCCAACCCTCGTGACCCTTGCTGAACCTTCTCTGAGGCTCGGTCTTAAAATCCAGTCACACTGGGGCTGGGGCTTCCACGAGGGAGTTCTTGGCCAGTAGCAAACACATCTAACGTGGCCCATGAGATGAAAAGGAAATCAAAGCATGTGGTGGTGGTGCATGCCTCTAAACACAGCACTTGAGAGGCTGAGGCAGGAAGATCATTGTAAAGTTGAGGCCAACTTGGGCTACGCAGTGAGTTTAAAACCAGCCTGAATAACAGAGCAAGACCCTGTCTCAAAAAGCAAAAACAAAACAAAAAAGAAATCCCAAAACAAAAACAAAAAAACTAGCGAAGGGCCAGAATGGAAGCTGGGGGTGTAGCTCATTGTGGAGGCCCCAGGTTCTATCTCCAGTACTTTTAAGAGCAAAAGAACTTTCCAGAACAAAATGGTAGTGTCACAAGAATAAAGCATACTTACAAGAAAGTATGCCTGATGCAGGAGAACAGAACGTAATTTTGAACAGAGCTGCATTTATTTCTCTCAGGTTAGACAGGAGGCATTCAAAGTGTGACCCACACTGATCCAGGATGATATAAAACTCTAGTTATAAGAACGTTAAAATTCTTACAGCATTCATCAGAGCACTTATTTATATTGACTATCAGAAAGATGTGGCCTTGTCATTTTTGTTTATTCGTTTAGATTTAATTTTCCAAGGAATACTTTTGCATTGCTCTGTTTTTGTAATACTGGGGATTCAAACCAGGAACTTCACACTAAATTACACCCACAACATTTTTAAAAATTTCTTTTGAGACAGGGTCTCCCTGGGTTACCCAAGCTGGGCTCAGACTTTTGCAGTGGTCCCATGTCGGTCTCCCAGGATGCTGGAATTACAGGAATGCATGAACACAACCTGCTTGTATTGTATTTTATTAAAGTATTGATTTGTAGTAGATTGAAAATATTCAAGATTGGTTCTTATCAAGTCACCTGAGAATGAAAGTAGAGGGCAGCAGAGTTTGTTCACTAAGCTGGGCCGGCATGTGAGAGGTCTGATACATTTTTGTTTTTGTGTTCGTTTTGTGAAAGATGCAAATGCCAATCCTGTACTGGCCCATCAAGTATTTCTGAAAGGCCAAAATCTTTTGCTATAAAGTGCAAGTGGGAATTTGAAGACTAGGGATATTACACTGCATCTATTAAGCATATTCCCATTCATACACTCTTGACATGTTTCAGAAAGGTCGTGATTTAAAGTATATGGAAGGTAAAAAAATTTAAATAAATAAATTTTTAAAAGTGTATAGAATTGCGTCGGTTATACGCAAATACTATGCCATTTTATATGAAGTACTTGAGCATTCACGGATTTTTGGTATCCGTGGAGTTCTGGAGCGACTTCCCCGCAAAGACAGCAAAAAGATCATTCTACTTAAGGAGACTTTATTAAGAGCGGCATTTAAATTCTGGTGCGAGAGGGGCAATTAACAAACGGTCTTCGCATAACTGGTCTCCCTCTGGCAGAAAACAAATGTAAGCTCTAGTTCATACGTGCATTAAGATAAATTCTGGTCACTTAGAAACATTAACGTTTCTAAATGGAAGAACTGCATCGGGAGCCTCGGGAAACCTGACCAAGCTGGAAGCCGGCGCGCGGCTGTTAACTCTCTGGCCCTTCCCGCGGCGCGCCGCGACTACGTCAGGGCAGCCAGCCAATGAGATTGAGCGTGGGCGGCGCCTCAGCCAATGGGACCAGGGCGGGAGATTTGAAAGTGTCTCGGCAGAGACCGAGCTGGGCAAACTCAGCAGCCCGCAGGTGATCCGGAGCGGTGCAGTGGCTGGGCCGCGGGTTCCAGGTGAGCTGACCCTCTTTAGCGGGTGAGCAGGCCTGATCTCCTTTCGTGGATGATCAGACAGGTCGGGGGTCCGTTTGGTTGGACCGCGCGCTCCCCACCGGTGAGCGATGAGCGTTCAAGGGTGAAGGGGGTTGTCGTAGAAGTGTGCGGGACGGGTAGTAGGGCCGGGGCGGTGAGACCAGGTCCGGGCTGCTTCCAGACGGAGGCCATTCGGCTGACCTCTCCCTTTCACCAGCACAGGATAGCACTTCCGGCTAGACCTCTCCTTCCCTTTCCTTTTTTTCCCCCCCCTTCACCCAGCTCTCGTCCCCCTTCTCTCTGAGGATGGCCCAGAAGGAGAACGCCTGTCCCTGGCCCTACGGCCGGATGCCGGTAAGGCCCTTCCCACTTGCCCCGCCTCCTCCCCTCTGAAAGGCACTTCTTCCCTTGATGCTCTGACCTCGGGGCCCCGACTGTTGGCTCCCTGTTTGGCCCTGCGCAGCCATGTCCTGTCCGATGCTACCCAGTCTTAACAGTGACTTCAGCTTTGGAGGACATCTGCAGGGCTGAGCCAACTTGTCACATACAAATGATATCCTGGACTGAGCAGTCAGGGTCGGACCTCAGGCCATGATTCCCAACTCTACTCTGAGAAAACTGGGCAGGAAACAGTCTGGAAGAAAACATAAAGTTATTGTGTTCAAAAGATTCAGGACAAGCTGGGGATTTAGCTCAGTGGTGTAAGTGCCTCCCTGGCAAGCACAAGATCATGAGTTTGATCCCCAGTACAAAAAAAAAAAGTAAAGGTTCAAGACCAATCTGAACTAATCCTTTGGAATTTAGTTGGGGTGCAGACGATCAAGCTCAAGGCCTCTGCATCCTAGGTAAGTGCTCTGCGCCAGGGCTACACTCCCAGCCCTGGAGTTTATTTTAATGACTGGTATAAAGACTCAAATCTGTTTTCTAATTATAAAAACACCTTCCATTAATTTGAAGTCATGCATTTATTTATTTTTATTTATTTATTTTGAGACAGGGTCTCTCGTAGTTCAGGCTGGCCTTGAACTCCCAGCAACCTCCTGCCTCAGACTCCCAAGTGCTGGGATTACAGGTGTGTGCCACCACACCCAGCAATGCCTTTACTATGTATATTAGAATCCTCTGTGTTTTGTTAGCTTGGTTGTCAGTCTTCAGGAAGCAGGTGTTTAGGGGGCCTGGGTCCGTTTCTTCTCTTAGCTGCACAGACTGCTCCCTTTGGGGGTCAGTTGGGCGCCCCCAGGAGTCCATTGGTTTTCTTTCCCTCTGTCCTGGAGCACTGAGTGAGGCTGGCAAGGGGAATCTGCTGACTGAGGACCCAGTGTCACTTTTGCCTTTGTCACTCCCAAAAAGAATTGGAGTCTCTTACCCTGAAAAGATGAAAGTGAACAAGTTGCCTGTGGCCATCAGAAGAGCCCTCTGTGTCCCTCATCTTTTGCTGCAAGGGTTAAATACTAGTGTTTGTTTCAACATTTAAAGCCTTAAGGACATTAACAATGCCTTCATGGCCTGAGCTTTTTAGGGGACTTTGAGAACGCCACTGTGCTAGACTCTGAATTGTGAATATCCGCTGCCCCCTGGGACGGGGGCCCGGTGAATGAGTTTGGTGACAGTGAGACAGCTGTGCAGACTGAGAAGCTACATACCTGAGAAGGTGGCGCAGGCCTCAAGCAGAGATGAAGTGTGACATGTCAGACTAAGTCCTTTGTCTGTTAGTAATCCTCAAGGTGCAGAAGCTTGGTGGGTGGGGAGTCAGACTGTGGTTATCAGTATTTTTCTTGGGACAGAGGGTGGATGGCTCTTTACCAAGTAGCTGACATGCTGCTGGCTGCATATTCCACCCTGGTCAGTAGGACAAAGGCCCCTCAGAGCACCTCTGCTTCTTCTCAGTCTCAGTCAGGCCTGAACACCCTGTCCCAGAGAGTCCTGCGGAAGGAAGCCACCACCCCCTCCGCAGCTGTCCTCATGAGCCGCCCCAACGGCCAGCCCGCAGGTAACTGGGCCAAGGACAGGACTGTGTAGAGGGGAGGAGTGTGGGAAGACCTCAACTTACCTGTGCTTTCCTTAGCTGCCCCTGGCCAGAAGGCGGTGGACAGCAGCAATGGAGGGTCCAACTTGACGTGAGTGCCCAAGCCTGGGGTGGCATGGGGGTCCTGGAAGGGTGAAGAGAGAAAATCTGGGAGGCCAAGCTTAGGGTCAGGAGGAAAGGGACAGAAGAAGACTAACAAGCTAGCACTAACCTGCCCCTGCTTTCTAATCAGGCGGCCCCTCACGATCGACGACTTTGAAATCGGGCGTCCGCTGGGCAAAGGCAAATTTGGAAATGTGTACTTGGCTCGGGAGAAGAAAAGCCATTTCATCGTGGCCCTCAAGGTCCTCTTCAAGTCTCAGATCGAGAAGGAGGGCGTGGAGCACCAGCTGCGGAGGGAGATCGAAATCCAGGCCCATCTGCAGTATGCGCGTCACCTCCAAACCAGAGCCCCTCTCTGTCCCTCTCCTGCAACCCTCCGGGGTGCCCTGCGGTACCCGGACTGCGTACCTTAGCCAGGGAGGCCCCTGGCTCTCAGGCCTTGCCGACTGGCGTCCATGCCCCCTTACGACCCCCAGCACCGGCCCACTTCTGACCCCATCGGGTCCTGTGGTCTTCCCTCCCTGAGGCATCCTCTGTCTCTCCCCCCAGGCACCCCAACATCCTGAGGCTCTACAACTACTTCTATGACCGGCGGCGGATCTACTTGATTTTGGAGTACGCCCCGCGCGGGGAGCTCTACAAGGAGCTGCAAAAGAGCCGGACCTTCGATGAGCAGCGGACAGCCACGGTCCGGGCGGGTGGGCACCCAGGGCACCATCGGGAGGCGGAAGCTGGGCCACGCTGGGTGTAGCGGCGACCTGACCGCCGGGTCCTGGGCCTGCAGATCATGGAGGAGCTGGCAGATGCGCTGCTCTACTGCCACGGGAGGAAGGTCATCCACAGAGATATAAAGCCTGAGAATCTGCTCCTGGGGCTCCAGGGAGAGCTGAAGATCGCTGACTTCGGCTGGTCTGTGCATGCCCCGTCCCTCAGGTACGGTGGGCCACAAGGCCAGTCCTGTGCAAGGCTGTCCAGGCCAACACAAAATCCCATCGAGTCTGAGTCTCTAGAGACATGGAGGTTTTCTTTTTTCTTTTTTTCCTTTTTATCTGTACGGGGATCGAACTCACGACCCCCTGCCTGCTTGCAAGGCAGGTGCTTTGGGCTGCTGAGCTAAATCCCCAGCCCGACATGGGGGTTTAAGCTCAGCACTCAGCAGGCTGAGGCAGGAGGGTTGCTGTGCCTCTGAGGCCAGCCTGGGCTACATAGTGAGTTCAAGGCCAGCCTGAACTACAAACTACACAGAGAGATTCACTCCAAACAGAAACACCAAAAATAAATACGTAGTTCTAAAATCAACTGGATTATGTTTTCTTTTTTTTTTTTTTTTTTTTTTTTTTTTTGTCTTTTTCATTTTTATCGGTACCGGGGATCGAACTCACGACCGCCTGCTTGCAAGGCAGGTGCTTATGCCGCTGAGCTAAACCCCCAGCCCCTTGGATTATGTTTTCTGATAGAACTTTTTCAAATGTCAAAAAGAAAAGATTATAAATCTTTTAATAAGTCTATTGGATTTTTTCCCAGTAGTATGGGGATATTATGTGTTCCCCTCAGCTCTTTTTAAAATTAGTTTTACTCAGGGCTTTGCATGGTTGCCCAGGCTAGCCTCCTGCCTTGTGATCTTACCTCAGCCTGTGCTCCTGTTTACCAGTTACCATATTAAAATGCTCAGGATGGCATGCAGGCCACCGCTGGGGCTCGGGTTGATGTCCTCACCCATCCTCGCCCCGAGGCTGGGACACTGCTGTGCCTGCTGGGAAGCCTGCCCACCCCCGGGACCTCCACCCACTTCCTGCATCTCTCCAGGAGGAAGACCATGTGTGGCACCCTGGACTATCTCCCCCCAGAGATGATCGAGGGGTTCACACACAACGAGAAAGTGGATCTGTGGTGCATTGGGGTCCTCTGCTATGAGCTGCTGGTGGGCAACCCGCCTTTCGAGAGTGCCTCACACAACGAGACTTACAGGCGCATTGTGAAGGTGAGAGGGCTGTGCCCGGCTCGGCCGGCTGTAAATGTGGGGCTGGAGGTGGCCAGAGTGGGTCACAGGCCCCTCAGGAAGCCCTGAATGGGATGGATACTCCAGGAGAACCCCACAGACCGGCCCCACCTTCTTTCTCCACCCCTGCAGGTGGACCTGAAGTTCCCCGCCTCTGTGCCCACAGGGGCCCAAGACCTCATCTCCAAGCTGCTCAAGCATAAGGCATCCGAACGGCTCTCCCTGGACCAAGTGGCAGCGCACCCTTGGGTGCGGGCGCACTCCCGCAGGGTGCTGCCTCCGTCTGCCCCCTGAGTGTGCCCGGCATATGTTGGTGTGTCTGTGATTGTGCAGGGAGACAGGAGAGGTCTGGCCTCTTCCCTTATGTCTTCCACCTCCTTTTTATTTAATAAACCTGTAGCTTTTTGTACTGGTGAGCGCAGAGGTTTCTAGGTGAGGCTTTGCTGGGGAGGAAGCTTCCTTCAGAGACAGGTGGGGGAACTGCCCTGGGGGAGCGCTGCGGCTTGCCCACCTGACACCCTGCCTTTAGCTCTGAGGCCACCTGCTCCCTCCCCTGGCCCTGTCCCCTCTCTGTCCCCTGACCCTTCTTTGTTTGCTCTGAGTTGTAGAGTCTGCAGTTTGGGAAAACCTTAGCTCCCCACTGTTTTTGTTGTTGTTCATTTGTTTTGTTGTTGTTTTAAAACAGGGTCCCATTGTGTGGGCCAGGCTGACCTAGAATTTGCAGCAGTCCTCCTGCCTCAGCCTCCCAAGTGCTGGGATTACAGGTGTCTGCCCCCACATCCTACTTCCCCACTGCGATGTTAGATCTCAGCCATCTCTGCCTTCCTTCTCTGGGCTTCTAGCATTTTCTTCTGCTGGCTCATTGCCTGGCCCTTGCCAACCTAGAAACAGCTGAGCATGGTTGTATTAGCCATGGAAAAATATACTGGAAAAATCACCTAACACAAAGCCTATTATATACCAAGTGTTTGATTTCTTGCAATTTGTTGAATATTGAACACAAAAACTGGAGTTTTTTGGAGAGAGGGAGTACACTTTTACACCATCACAAATTCAAAAAATAAAAAATCAAATAATTGTAAGTCAGGACTGGAAATGCAGCTTAGTATAGAGTGCTTGGCGAGCATGTATGAGTCCTTCGGTTGAATCCCAAGTACTCCAAAGACAATCACCCTAAGTCATGGAATGTATAGTTTTTAAGTCACGTGTTTCCAGTATCTTGGCCCTGAAGTGAATCTCGGCCCTTTTTCATTTTTTGAGACAGGGTCTTGCTAAGTCACCGAGTTGCCCAGGCTGGGCACAAACATGGTGCCTCCCAGACTGCTGGGGTGACAGCCTGCAAAACAGGCCCCATTAGACTGCTGCTGAGGCTTTCACTTTTACCTGCTGCTTCCCACTATGGAGCTGAAGGGTTTTAGGGCTGGAGCTGTAAATCAGTAGTGAGGCCGAACCAAGGCCCTGGGTTGATTTCTAGGACTGCAGAAAAAAGATTTTACTCTCATCCCACGGCCACCAAACGCATGTACATCTCCTGTCCCCACATCACAGTGTTGGCTAGATTGATTCATTTGACAATGTACTGAGCACCTTCTACAGGCTTTGTGCTAAAGGGGAGAGGTGAAGCATTTTTTTTAAAACTGCACCCAGGAAGCATCCATGTATAGGGAGCCGATGTTTAGTGCTTCCTGCATGTGTGAGACCCTGGCATCCACTACCCTCCTGTCTTACACAGCCCTGGACACCCCTGAAGTCAGCTGTCTTGGGAAACTTGCTCACTTCCTACGCACATAGATGCCAGACCCATCTCCACATTCTCCCGTCAAAGCACCTAAGCTGTAAATATCCACCAAAACGCCACTTCCTGCACCACATCCCTCGTGTGTGATACATTTTTTATGTGTGATAGATTTTTGAGCGTTAGTATTACCTCTGATGGAATATATGTTTTGCAGGTATTTTAAAGCTTCCAGCAGGAATAGCTGTACACACTTGAAATCCCAGCACTTGGGAGGCTGAGGCAGGAAGACTGCCTGAGTCTAAGGCCAGCCTTGACTACACAGTGAGACCTCCATCTCAAGAGAAAAAAAAAAAAAAAAAAAACCCAAAATTCCAAATGTGAGCTCAAGGCCAGCCTGAGCAGCAGAGAGATCCTGTCTCAAAAAGACAAAACAGCAAAATAAAACAATCTCCTGATGAAGTTATTAAAACTTAAATTGTTATAATCCATGCACAGCTATTTTTAGTAGATGTTAAGCAGGGCAAGAGGATCAGGACCTCTGTGGTGGCGGGGAGGCTTTCTTTTTTCCCGTCTGCACCAGGAGCCCAAATCAGGAGCTCGCCCGCCGGCAGGTGCTTATGCACTGAGCCGAATCCCTTGCGCCAAGGTCCTGCCTGATTCCACTTTCACCTGTCTTTTTCACTTAGCAAGCATAAGAAATCAGGTTTTCAGGCTTTCTTCTCCTTTCCCCTCACTTCTCTTTCCCTCATTTTTATGTATATACAAATACATATTCATACATGTTTATATATTCGTGTATTTGCCTTTTAATTTTTTTGCCTTTTATTTTCAAGTCAAACAAAGCATTGTATTAAGGGAAGGAAATCAAAAGGCCACTGCCAGAAAAATAGGTCAGACAATTTTTGAATATTTTCCCACAAACAAGAACATATTCCCTATAGTAATTTTGTTTTTATTCCTAAATCTCCACAGTGTAGTAGAACTCTCTAAGTACAAGACAAAAAACAAAGTTCCAAACGTGAGCTCCTCTGCCCCAGAGTGATCCGGCCTGCAGATCAATCCGTGGGGTGCACCTGGAGGCGGAACGGGGATTAAATAAAGACAGGGGAGACAGAGAGATGGAAGCAAGTGGAAAAAATCCGATCAAGCCCCCAGTTTATTCCGGACATGATTACATCTTTTATAGGCCAAGGGCGGGCTGGTGGGACAGGAAGAGGCTACGGGGATGAATACAACAGGGTCACCGTCACATCCGGGTACGTCACGTAAGCAGGAGAGGATTATGGTTAATGTAGGCAGACGCAGTGCCCATAGGGGAGAGAGGCAGGGAGGCAGCAATGGGCTGTCGCTCGGCTCCCTACATCTCTTCCCTTTCTATATTATTTAATCAAGAGTATGGCAGGCCCTGCCGGACAGCGTCTGTCTTAGGTCAAGGACCTCATTGCATGAACCCAACCAGGCCTTACCCATCATGGGCTTGCAGGACAGCAGTTGGTCCTGTGCCTGTCTTAGGCGGCCGATGGAGTTAACATGCATGTCCTAGTTGCCCGTCTCTGACTGCCTGTCCATTGCCCGAGGGCAGTTAGGCCGCATCGTCATATGGGCCACTCGTGGGAATTCCTTCCTGGTAGGTTTGTTGATCTGCCATCTCCAGCTGATGATAGTGTACCTGAATGGGCTTTGCCATAAACGCGTCTATCCGGTTATTAATGAGCAGCATAATCCTCTGAAAATACAAGGACTCACAGAAAGGAGAAGCAATAGGGCAGCTAGGGGACCCAAAAGGGGCGCTAGGTAAGGGAAAAGCTCCCCCCACCACATATCGAGGAGAAGGGGTTGGCAGCCATTTGTTGGTGTCTCTGTTGAAGTCGTTCTCCTATGTCTTGGAGTATGCCTCGCATAACACCGGCCGCAGTCTATTTGGCTGGTTTATGTTCCCCCAGACTGAGAAGAGCCTCTTCCGTGGTCACAGGGGGTTCTGTGCAGGGCTGTCAGCAGTTGTAGTCTGTTTGGCAGGGGTCTCAATCCACCATGGGTGTGGTATGGCTCAAGGAGAAGGCTGAGTAGGCAGCATAAGGCTCCGGGGGGTTGTGTCACCTGTAAGAGAACACCGGGGATTGTGCCTCGGGAAATGACATTATTCCTGGGCATTGCATGGGGTCTTTGAAGAACTGTCTACTTGTTTTACGAGGCACTCAGGTAGCCATCTAGCTTCTCTATCTTGTTGAGAGTAAATACACACTGAGCTGCGTCCCCATATGAGAATGGGATCAGGGACATGCTGTGAATTAGTCAGGAGGTTTCTCTATAGTACTGAAGCAAATTGCTTTTGTGTTTTAGAATGCCAAAAACGCATGGCTGCTGACTGTCCAGAAGCATCCAAATTTAAAAAATAAAGGATGAATAAGGCATGGGATAGAATATTTTTAGGTGTCCTCGTAGAGTACCATTTTCCCTTTTTATTTTATCAACAGTGAATTTTAGGAAAAGATGTGTCCTTTTAACTATGTCTTGACCTTGAGAGTTATAAGGTATGTCTTTTATATGATCAATATTAAGATGTTGACAGAAATGAGCAAAGGCAGAACTAGCATAGCCTGGACCATTATCAGTCTTTAATTGTTGTGGGCATCTCAAAACTGGTAAGGTAGTTCACATATGGCTAATAACGTTTGGTAGCTTTGCCTGTCTGGGGACAGGTATAAATGAAATCATTAAAAATATTTATAGTTACATGAAAATATTTAAGATTGCCAAGCTCAGGAATGTGGGTGACATCCATTTGCCATAATGCATTGAGGATTGTCCTCTAGGATTAACCCCAAAGTGTGGAACTGGGAGGTGCATGGCACAAGAAAGGCAATTTTTTACTATCTGTCTGGCTTGTTTTCTAGTGATCTTAACACAGAATTACAGAAAAATAAATGGTAAGAAATCAACAGTTAACAAGTTACGTACTGTCATCTTAGAAATAGCTGTTCAGGTTACAAAATTAAAGCATTCAAAGCGACATTTAAACAGTGACAATGCCAACAGTTCTCAATGATCCAACAAAAATTTAGTAATACAGTTATCAGTCCTATACACTTGTTTTTTATCTCAAAGAGGGCAAGACCAAACATATCAAAACAGAAAAAAACAGTTTAAAAAAAGATTTAAAGAAATACAGATTTTTAAAGCAAGTCTACTGGAGATCTTTACTGTTTACTTAATTGTCTCTAGTTTCCTCCAAACAGTCGTCCCCATCTTCACACACATTAAATACACACTGCATATTATAGAACTAATCAAACCATTACAGCATGATGAAGGCTCCTTAGGTTTTCAAGATCTGACATTGGGGAAGACAATAACAACTACCATAGTGTCTCTCATTCTCCTTTTAGCAGCTGTCCCCATCCTTACATATGCTGAAATTAAACTTAAGAGACCAGACCAATATCACTCCAATCAGTTAAATGAGTCAAAGTAACTGACATTGGAATCTCTATCTCTGGAGTCTTTTTTGCAAAATGACCAGTCTCTCCACAGGCAAAACAGTTTTGTTTATGCTTTTGAGATAACAACTGTTTAACTACAAACCCCTGCAAGGCAGCAGTCACAGCAAAGGTGTATATATCCTGTTAGGCCTGTTCTATTTTTAGGAGGTCTGATAGCGGCCCAGCAGGCGGTGCCGGCACCTTTAAAAACCAGCTGTTCAACAAAATCAGTGCCTGCATCAGTGCAGCCAAAGATTCTGTTAGCTGCAGTAATCAAACCATCGACAAATTCTGAAAAGGGTTCATCTGGGCCTTGCTTAATGCTACTGAGAGAGGAGCTCATATTATCTTTTGCAGGCAGCTTTCTCCATGTTCAAGTAGCTGCTGTTTGAATTTGAGCGAAAAGTGTTGGATTAAACTTTTGAGCCTTTCTGCATGCATAGGCATCTTTCACTATTAACATATTAAGGTCCCACCCATTGCTGGCTTGTGTATTGTGCCTGGCTGTCTCTTTTGCAACTTTTTGTATATTCTGATTTTTACAAAAGATTATCCCCACCCGATAAAGTCACTTGAGCCAATCTTTGCCAATCTGTAGGTGTGAGCCAGCCGTCAGCCAGAGAATTTAAAACAGCAAGAGTGAAAGCAGCTGTAAGGCCATATTGGGCAACTGCTGTCTTTAATATTTTTTTTTTCTGTCTTTTTCTCTTTACCGGTACCAGGGATCGAACTCACAACCGCCTGCTTGCAAGGCAGGTGCTTATGCCACTGAGCTAAATCCCCAGCCCCTGTCTTTAATTTTTTTAAAGCTGCCACTGTGAATGGCGTATGAGTCCTAACAACTCGTGGTGCTCACGCCCTCTTGCGGCTGTGCAGCGCCATCTTGGGGAGGTATGTTTGTTTCCGTCACCAGAAATGCAGTTTTGGGGAGGGACCCACGCTGATGTGGCGGAAGTGAAGCAAGTGCCATTTTAAGAGTGCCTGCTGGAGGCAGGCGCTATCTTAGGAGCACTATAAGGTCTTGTGCGACTGTGTCCTCAATCTGAGGATCTGCATGCCTCTGGGCAAGCAGCTCAGAGATTAAATTCCAATATGCAAAGGTGGTCACCAGAACCTTTTTCCAGACCAAAAACTCTATAATAATCTTTTAAAGCATCTCTTACTCTTTTCCACCTCTTGCTATCTATGGAACCCTCTAGGGCAAACCTTATGGATAAATTTAAAATACTGCAATAATTCTTTTGTTCTAACCCTTACCCCTCTTGTCTTTCATACCTTTATAAGGCCTCCCATGAACACTTCATGTTCGTTCAATGCTTGATCTATGTCCGGGAAAGGGAATGGGGTCGCCGTTCACTCACCATGACTCGGGCAGGTACGCTGGGTAGTCATCTGCACAGGCCTCGGTACTTGATTTAATGTCCTGTTGCTTTAAGCTTTAATCCTTGTTTAAGTTTGCTCACTCCTCGCCGAGGTCTTTGGTTCAATTTGCTTTCACTTTCAGTTTAAGCTGGCTGTCTCAAACGGTTCCCTCGTTGACTCCTCCGTGCCAGGAGCCCCACGTTGGGCGCCACTTGATCCGGTCTGGGGATCAATCCGTGGGGTGTACCTGGAGGTGGAACGGGGATTAAATAAAGACATAGGGGAGACAAAGAGAGATGGAAGCAAGTCGAAAAAATCCGATCAAGCCCCCGGTTTATTCCGGAAGTGATTACATCTTTTATAGGCCAAGGGCAGGAGGTGGGACAGGAAGAGGCTACAGGGATGAATACAACAGGGTCACTGTCTCATCCGGGTATGTGACGTAAGCAGGAGAGGATCATGGTTAATGTAGGCAGACGCAGTGCCCATAGGAGAGAGAGGCAGGGAGGCAGCAATGGGCTGTCGCTCAGCTCCCTACACCAGAGGTTTTCCGCGCCGCTCCCCTGCCTGTACCCCAAGTCCCACAGTCAGGGTCCTACACCTCCCAGCTCCTCATCTTATCCCACTTTCCACAGGCATGGTTTTGAGCCCTATATTGTTGCCTTAATATTTAAAAGTTTATTAAGCTTAAATGAGTTGATTCTCTTTTAAATGATAGGAATGGGGGTAAAAATTCACTTTTCCAATTATATCAGCAAGTGACATTGGTCAGGCCTCTCTGCGATTACATTCATGTCTCTGTACTAGAAAGCAACATTTTTAGCATGTGGGGATTTGCTTTAGTATTGCACTGTATATACTTTGTGTCTTACTGGTTTTTTTTTCTTTTCTTTTTGATACGGGGTCTCACTGTGCAGTTCAGGCTGGCTGAGCTCACTCTGTAGCCCAGGCTGGTCTCGAACTCACAACAGTCCCCTCGCCTCAGCCTCCCGAGTGCTGGGGTCACAGGCGTGAGCCTCCACACTTGGCTCTTTTTTTTTTCTTTGTGTCTTACTGTGAGGCAGGGCTTTGCTGGAGACTCATGGTGCCCCTCCTGCCTCCGTCTCCTCAGTGCTTCTTGCTTGTTTCTGCCCTCTTTACCCTGGAAGCTCTGACAGTTTGAACAGATGCACAGCATGAAACAGCTACAGTGCAATCCTCCCTGGGTGTGGTGGAGCATAACTAACCCTTCTACTGGAGAGGCTGAGGTTAGAGGCTCAAACCCAAGCCGGCCTGGGTTGCACAGTGAGTGAGAGGCCCCACCTCAATCAAACAAGCCAATAGAAAGCTCCTCCGGAGGGACACAGAGGTGGTTTCCCGTGCTTAGCTCTGTGGCCATGTCTTTCCCAGGCTTGCTGTGTCCCCCTGCCGGGGCTTTCACTGGGGATATCTGGAGAAACACAGAAGTGCTGGGTTGTCGGGCACACCCCGGCTAAATCCCAGTGATGCTTCCAGTTGCTGTCCAAGGTCAGGGATGGGCCCCCAGAGATGGAGGTGCCACCTCCTTCCATGCCTCTGTGCTCCGTGCTGCAAGCCTCTCCAGCGTTGGTGTCCACTTCCCAAGGCGCCAGAGCACCTCAGGATCCCCACCTGGTCACCTTCCCTTGCGCTGATCAGAAATGGGGGATTCACTGTGGAAATCAGTATGGAAATTCCTCGGAGAACTAGGACTAGAGGTTCCATTCAGCCTCACGGTCCTCCAAGAATGAAAGGCAGGGACCACGGTGATGTACGCACACGCGTGTTTACAGCAGCACAAGCTGTAACAGCTAAGTCTGGGAAGCAGCCCAGATGCCCATCAGCCAGTGAACGGATAAGAAGATGTGGCTCTTCTACACAGGGAAGTACTAGCCCCTGTGCAGAAGGATGAATTCGAGACATTTCTGGTAAATGGATGCACCCTGAGACCTACTCTTGCATGAAATAAATTGGTCATAGACGTACAAATTGTCTCTCTGATTTGAGAAACTGAAAGTGTAAATAAGGACCAAAATGTGGAAGAGAAATTGGCGAAATAGGAAATGGTGAAACAGGAAGAAAATGTTCAAATGGGAAGGAGAACTGGGGCGGGGAGGAAGGGAAAAGACAGAAAAACTAGGAACAGCTTTTGTACACGAGGAGAAGGGGCCTGAGGGACAGTAGGGGACCGGCAAAGGAAAAATGAAGGTGTTCCATGTACAGGCGCAACTCCCTAGGCTAAGTGGGAGCATTATGTACCCCTAAAATGTACCAGTAAACAGTTATAAAGACAGGAAGAAAAAGAAACACACACAAAGATCGCAAGACCTGACAGGAATCTTTCCTATCCCCAGCTCTCGCAGGCTTCTGCTCATGACTTCTCTTTCTTTTTTTCCCTTTTTTTTTTTGGCCTTTGAGACAAGGTTTCAGCGTAGTTCAGGCTGATCCTGAACCCCTGTCATCCTGCCTCAGCCTCCCAAGAGCCGGCATTAGAGGTGTCTACTACCACACAGGGCCCTGTGCACTTTTTTAGCTGGTTAGATACTGCAAACAGCCAGTATCCACCCCCACCAAAGAAGTGTTTCAGTCCTTTACACGGAATCTCAGAGCCAGGCACAGTACCACACGCCTGAGATGCCAGCGCTCAGTCCAGCGCTTGCCACAGTCCAGAGTCGGCCTGGTCTGCATAGTGAATCCATCTAACCACAGTGAGACCCTTTTTTAAAAAACAGAACTGAGAGAATCGACTCCCCGTTTGTAATGTAACCCCCCCCCCCGAGCTATGGAACAGAGCAGTAAGGAATGTCTCACTCCCTAATTCCTCCTTGAGATATCAGAGCAGGACAGGAAGGAATACATTTGCTAGTCATTAACCACAAGATGTTCTGTCCTCTGTAAAGGAAAAGATAAGTAAAGGAATGTGCTGTTCAAACGAGACCGAGTTATACCTGGCACTCTGAGATCAGACCAGGACCCTCAGTCTCCATGGTTACTCAGCCCCAGACCCCTCGAATCAGCATCTGCCAAAGTCCTGCGCCGTTCAAAATTAACCAATGCGATCTGCTTCTGTAAACCTGCTTGCTTCCCGCTTGTGCCCTTAAAAACCCTGCACAAATTCCCCTCGGGGCCCTCCGCACTCGTTTGCCTGGAGGACACCATGCGCATGGAAATAAACTTTTTTTCCTCACCAAGAGTTGAGTCCTTGGGGTCTCTTTCCCTGCGGCGTCGGCCCTAACATTCTGGAGGCCCCAGCAAGATAGCACGTCTCACGGGAGGTGACCTCAACGGCTCTGCGGTGGGTGAGTACGACCGGTCGCTTCTTATTTTTACTCTGAGGGTCAATCTACTGGTATTTTACGCCCCGAGCCAAATGGCTCCGATCTAGGGGCAATTTTTGTTACCTGTTTTTGTTATCTGTTCTCTGTTCTCTGGTGACCGGGGGACGCCCCACACGGTTCTCCGTGGCTCACCGTCTGCGATAGGGCTTCCCTATCGATCTGGGGAATTTCATTCCCAATCTGTGGTCCGTCCAGGCCAATTCGGAGACACCCTTTGAGGTGACTCATCTGGGGAATTTCGTTCCCAATCTGTGGTCCGTCCGGGCCAATCTGGAGACACCCTGTAAGGTGGCTCGTTTGGAGTGAAACTGATGCGTGAGAGTGAGGTGGCCGGCCTGTTTGTCCTGTGTGTTGTGGGTATCGTGTTTAGTTATTTGTTGTATCGCGCTTGCGTTAACCGCCCTGTGACCATAGAACATCATGGGACAGTCGACCTCATCCCCATTGTCCCTCACCCTCGACCATTGGTCGGAGGTGCGGAAGAGGGCTCACAATCTCTCCTTGCAGGTCAAGAAGAGTAAATGGCAGAATTTCTGCTCGACTGAGTGGCCCACTTTTTCAGTGGGATGGCCGCCGGAGAGGACTTTCCACCTGCCCCTCATCCTAGCAGTTCAGAACATCATCTTCCGCCCCGGACAAGGGGGCCACCCTAATCAGGTCGCTTACATCCTAGTATGGCAGGACCTCAGGGAGGAACCCCCACTGTGGGTGAAACCCTTTCTTCCCCCTTCTGACTCCTCTATACCAAAACTCTTAGCTCTGAAAGGACCTCCCACTCCCGCTCCAGCTCCGGTCCTGCCCGAGTCTCAGCCTGATCTACCTCTGCTCGACATAACCGGCCTCCTCCTTCCCAGCTGACTCAACCTCCTCCGTACCCACTCTCTCCTCCAGCCTCCTCGTCCGGATCAAGCGCTCCTTCTCCTTCAGCACCCTCTTCACCTGAACCGAACCCCTCTTCTCCTCCGATACCCACGTTCCCTCTGTATCCCCCGCTCCCTACGATGGCTTGCTCTGGGTCTACACCTCCGGGGCCCACAGGCCCAGCCCAGAACACTCGGAGCAAGCTACGGCCTGAGGACCCAGTTGTTACCCTTCCCCTTCGCCCCTACGGGCCCATGATAGATGACAGGTCGGATGGAGGGCAGATGCCCGCTTTACAGTACTGGCCTTTTTCTACCTCAGATCTCTATAACTGGAAAAACAATAACCCTCCTTTCTCTGATGATCCGTCTAAGTTAACAGGTTTAATGGATTCTATCATGTTCTCCCACCAACCCACATGGGATGACTGCCAGCAGCTTCTAGGGGTCCTGTTCACCACCGAGGAGAGAGACCACATCCTTCTGGAAGCCCAGAAAGCTGTTCCTGGAGAAAACGGCAGACCCACCCAGAGACCAGACCTGATTGATGATTTCTTCCCCTTAAAATGCCCCAACTGGGACCCCAACTCACCTACCGGTAGGCAGCATCTTTCTATCTATCGCCAGACTCTAATGGTGGGTCTCCAGGCGGCTGCAAGGCGCCCCACTAATTTGGCCAAGGTAAGAGAAGTAATTCAAGGGCCTACTGAGACTCCCTCAGTTTTTCTGGAACGCCTGATGGAAGCTTACCGGCGGTACACGCCTTTTAACCCTGAAGAGGAAGGCCGACAGGGCTCAATAGCCATGGCCTTCATAGGGCAATCGGCTCCTGATATAAGACGTAAGCTCCAAAGGCTAGATGGTCTGCAAGACCTAACTCTGAGGGATCTTGTTAAGGAAGCTGAAAAAGTCTACTATAAACGGGAGACAGAAGAGGAAAAAAAGTTAGCTAGGGACAAAAGACGAAACAAGGAATTGGCTAAAGTGTTGGCTACAGTTATTCAGGGAAAACCTGAGACAGGAAAGGGAAAGCCCACTCGCCCCCCATTAGACCCTGACCAATGTGCATATTGTAAGGAAAAAGGACACCTGATCAAAGACTGTGAGAAATTGAGAAAGAAACGAGCCAGAGAGGAGCGAGAAAAACAGTCCTCGCAGCGACCCCGAGCCCCCATGCTCGCCTTAGATGAAGAGGACTAGGGACTTCGGGGCTCGGACCCCCTCCCCGAGCTCAGGGTAATGTTTAAAGTGGAGGGGACTCCCGTAGAATTCGAGGTCGATACGGGAGCTGTTTACTCGGCTCTTCAGGCCCCCTTAGGGGCCC